ATTCCATCGTTTTCTTTACTGTCTATTTGACTATTACACGTTAACTAACTTTTTTCAAGTTTATTTCACGGGTTAAATTCCTCATTCTATTGGATAACAGCATCGACTTATCCACTGGATAAGGATTTATCCATCGGATAGCGCTATCCATCTAGCCTCCTTCGCAGCCGTTCTTAGGGTCGTCACGCAACGTTGAAATAGGTCGTCACGCAACGTTTATTGAAATAGGTGTATACAATGCTTTCGAATGGTACATCAAGAAATTTCGCACGCTTCCTTAAACACACGCACCAGCATTCTGGCAATTAGTGAATAAAAAAGCAGCCATAAGTATTTACAGCGTCTTTTATCCTTTAAACCTATAACATTATACAATGGAAATCTCTAATAACATAACTTACTATAATTATATTTCAGTATCGGATCACAGACATTTCGGTCGCGAGCCATATTCCATATTTATCGCTCACGATCGGATAGGGTGCAGAAACATCAAACGCCCCTTTTTTGACGGCGCCAGCTTTTTCTGCGCGGCGACCATTTTGGAACCCCTCCTTTTAAAATCCTGATCCTCCATTTTATTGAAGTTGTTTTTCATGATTTTTTTYCCCCAAAAATGTTTTGCATAGTTAAGATTATATAACACCATGGAAATGTACAATAAAAATGTCGTTAGAAATCATTTAACAGTAGCAGTGGTACTACATATACTAGCATACCATATCTGGTACATGTAAGTTAAGGTTACAAGGAAAAAAAGAGATGTTACAATGACATTAGCGGAGCCATGGTAACGGTCTAAATAACGACGTCATACGAGGGAGACGGTGCACATTTCTGCATGACAGTCAAATATACAATGCCCCTGTTTAGTCATACAAGCTTGATGACATTCCCTGACGCCTGGCGTGCAGGTCATGTGGCATCCTGGTCCAAAACACATCTGTACGCACGTCTCCGCTTCACATTTCATGGTTCCGCATTCTCCTCCATTACATACTTGAAAGCAAACTTTAGCGTTACATGTCATCAACTGGCAAAACCCACCGGCGCAATTTTGATTGCAGCGTTCCATGCTGGAGCAATTAAGATTGCAATTCCCACCATCACAGGTTTGATTGCACGAGTGCAGAGTGTCAAGCTGGTTACATGTGAGGGAGCACCCCTCATAACTCCTACAGGCTTGACGACACACTCCCCACTCGATTGAATCACAAACCTTTAAGATCCCAGAACCTGGCGGTCTCGTGCGGACGTACTCACAGTAACCCGCATAACAACTTGGACTGCAATTTTCGGCATTGCAAATCATCTTGCATCCCCCACCAGTGCAATATTGCTGACAGATCCTAGTATCGTGTGACAAACACTTCATAATGCATCCACCACCTCGGCAAATCTGGCTGCATTTTTCCGACACGCATTCCATTTCGCATCCCCCCGCAACACATTCCTGTATGCAGACTCCAGATTTACAGGTTAACTTTTTGCATCCTTTCCCGATACACACTTGACTACATTTATGGTAATCATTGCAATCGAGGTAACAATGCCCTCCGAAGCAAATTTGACTGTGATTGTGTTGAGGATCGTTATTAAAAATGTTACAATATCCACGTATACATTCCTGTAAACAGGTCTTGTTTACCAAACCGTAGTTACAGTTTTCTATGACAGCCACTTGGTGAACGGGTTCTCGAGGAACGTTATATATACATCTTCCCTCGCGACAGGATCGTAAACACCGCTCCGCTTGACACAACATTATACAGTTTCCATAGTTACATGTCTGCTTGCAATACTTCACACCACGAGGGCATCTCATTAGACATTTCCCAGCCTTGCATGTCTGAATACAGAGTTCTGTCCCAGGACTGCAAGTCATTTGGCATCCTGCAACATCGCATTCTTGGTTACAATGCTTACTATTACATTTAAGGTTGCACTCACTTCTCAGACAATGCTGACGGCATTTTCTTGAATTGCATTCCATTGAATCGCACGAGCCGGCATAACATCGTTGTCGGCATTGCTCTGGAGCAATACAAGAGATATTGCACTTTCCTGCGTGACACAGCTGGTCACAGCTGCGGTAACGTTCAGAAACGTGACAAGTCATATTGCGCCTGCGCACAGACCAATACTGCTGACAGTTTGAATCGCTTTGCAGTGTACATTGAGATTTCTCGTCTTCAATCTCGATACAAATCACTAGAACGGACAAACAGCTGAGTAATAACACCAGGAGCGTACGACTCATTCTGCTACCTAATGGAAACCATAGATAGAAAAATGAAATCAAATTATATATAGATATGGTAAAAGGAATTGAAAAGCTGGATTTAATTAAAAAGTCAAATGTCAAAGTGTGGAATCCTGTTGCTCGTACGACTAATTGGTGTTAAATGTTACTCGTTCATTATAGACTACTTCAAAATATATTTTGGCTTTTTTTTTTTTTTTTTNTTTTTTTTTTTTTTTTTTGCTTGGTATAGATTATGATTTGCGGTAGATTTTCCTCTTTAAAGTAAAGTCTTCTCTTTCTATCGGTAACTGTAGATAAGACTCTTGCAGATAGCGAGTCGTTTTTCAAGAACAGTGGCCTTTGTTTATTTTGATAGTAGCGATAAAATCAAGACATCACCGGATATCTCAGGTAGATGATACCTATCACTAGATTCAAAACCCGCGCCCTCTTGAATTGAACCACCTACCGCATCTTATCCTTACTTCGAAAAAAAACCCCAGATTTAACTAGATCCTTGTAAAATATATTAGTAGGTCGTTCTTCGGGATAGGCGGTACCGGAAAGGTTATTGAGTGGGTGGCAAGTTTTCATTTAAGACGTCAAAAAAAGCGGAAAGGAATCGACATTTGAATTCATCACACTCTGTTCCTCAGAAATGTGTGCTTATAAAATAAACAAAATAGAGAATGCAGCTATTCAAGAAGACGTCTAAACGAGTCAAAGAGACTAACTTATTCATCACACAGAAACGCGAATCGCGCTTAACTGTTTTGCATTTGATTGACTTTAGAAAATCAGTGAAGTAAAACGTGTGGTTCAAGGGGTATATCACTTTGGCCATCAAGAATGTGTCGTTCATTGATGCCTTGGATAAAGTTATGTTTTTAGTATATTTTTAAGGAATCATTTTTTTCAAAATTCGTCCACATATTTTTCAGAACACGATAGTGTTGGTTGAATACCGAAATTCAAATTAGCTGAAGCACATCAAAAATGACAAGAAATTGGACTTACATCCGCAAATAACGAGACAGAAGTTGGACAAAAGGCTAGCTCGAGTTGTGCCTCAAAATTTGGCAAATGTGTCGTTGAGAAACTGGCTAAGAATCCCTTTATTTAATTATACAGATGGTTTCTTAATCATGCTACCTTACCTTGGCTATCACATTAGCGTTTTGAAACGAAATCACGAACTTGTGGCTAATTTTTCTTGACCAGAATTTACGCATTTCTGCTTCAGAGGGCAAAAGGAAGTTACGGTAGCTAATTTTTATTTAAATCTTCAAATGAACCTTAACCCAATGTAAGCAGAAAGCAGTTTAGTAAGACCTCACTTACCTTGTGGTAATAGAATATAAGCTAGGTAGATGGTCTTGGAGGTACGTACTGAGAACACTAAAGACTTCTTGAATATTGTTGACAGTTTTGACTAAATATATTCCGATTTATCGAGTGGAGGTTTCAAATTACACGATTATGACTAGGTGGGGTAGAGTGGTGGAGCTTTTGCACCGGGTGGTAAACGTTGTATTGCGAGTTAAAAACATTTTCAAGTTCCAAATTACAGCTGTGTTCTTTGTCTACAGACGCATTTACCCAGGTTTCGCGTCGAATCAGTGTCTACTAAATATTCACAAATACCAACGGTAAAGTAAAGAATGAACAACTTCAACACTACAAACACTGTCAAATTCCACGGACCTTCACTGAAACACATGAATATTCCGCACAACATCGAGGCTGAGCCTCGCCAACAAAGAACTCGAAACTGGAGTATTTTCTTAAGCACAAATTATAAACCCTTTTATTTTGAGTGTAAATATTTCAATTTCATTTCAAATCCGTTGGGAAAAAGTTGCTTGGGTATAAGCTCCTTGTAGTGATTCCCAACCTGGAGACCAAAACCCCGAAAAGAATTCCCTTGAGGATTGAAGTCTTTTTTAATGTTGTTTTATATAATGCTCATTATTTTGACCCCCAGGTTGGCTCAGATTAGGTGCAAGGGGTCTTCATTTATAGCAATATATTCCTTAGCTAAAAACGAAAAATAAATTAATTATGAGGAATACTATGTGACATTGGAAAACACTGACTTAAATGTAAGGAACTATCGGTTCTTTTCTACTTTCCTTCCTTTTATGTGTATATATATATATATTTCTTTTGCTTGTGTGCGTTTTCCCTCTTTCTTTTTCTTCATCTGTTCGCGCATTCTTTGCATTTTTGCTCAGTTCGAATTCGGCGCCTTCTCAAAATCATTCTCGCCTTTCCCCCCCCYCCCCCCCCCCCCCCCCCTTTAGCTTCGATTTGTCCTTTCTTTTCTACCTCCTTCCGCCAATGACTTCTCTCTTTTGATTTTCCAGCAGTCCTCTTCTATCTTTTTTTCTTGGTCAAAATAATGAGGAAAATAATTTTAAGAATGTTATCGTTCTCATTCTGGGACTCTACCCAAAAAATCAACCGGCATAAACTTTCCGAACGAACAGTTTCATCTTACTTCGTTTATCAGCATAAATCAGAGAAGATAACAACTCGAATAGATACATCTATGTGAAAGTTCCCAAGGTCAGGAAGCCACGCCGACCTAGGTAGGGACAGGTTTGTAACTATCAATCAAATCAGCTTATGTTATTTGTCGACTTCCGTCCCGTATCAGTGAATTGAGCGAATTCCAGTGGTTTTATCAGTGATCGCTTAAACATTTGCTTGTTGTGCAGAGGGTTTTGTACTGTTGATCGAAAGATAGACCACAACATTTATGAACTGCAATGGACGCACGATATGTTGAGTGGAATTTTCTAACACATCGATCGACAAMCTAAAATTTGTTTTCAAGTGAGGTTAATGTGACCTACATGTTTATTTAATTAAAGAAAAAATCAGGCTTGAAATGTAATTAAATCACTAGATTGGAGTAAGTAAGGTCTGTGGACTGTGGACTGTGGACTGTGGACTGTCACTTAAAACAACCTTCCCTTTATTGTGCGACCAAATGCAACCTTTATTCAGCGACCAGTTTTCAAAGTCTAGAAGAGGGTTTTGCTAGAAAATATGTACCAGCTTAAGCGGCCAACCACTATTTATCGACCAGAGAACGACAGTTTCCCGGAAAATAGAGTTTGAAATAAAAACGAGACTCAATCATCCACATGAAATGAAAAACCGCGATGGTCAAAGAACCGTCTCCTCTGCCACGCGAAGCCAAGACAATGTTATAATTGTAGGCCATGCAGCTAGGGCCCGGTTGTACAAAGCCTGGATAGCGCTATCCGGTGGATAAATCCTTATCCAGTGGATAAGTCGATGCTGTTATCCAATACATTTATCCACTGGATAAGATTTATCCGTCGGGTAGCGCTATCCAGGCTTTCGTACAACCGGGCCCAGTGATGGAACCCTGGACGTATATAGTGCCATACGTTGACAGCCCTTTGAAGTTTACTGCCGTCCGATCCAATTTTTAAAAATATTCACTTACGTTTGGAAATCCGTTTTGAAAATATGTTTTTTTGTTTGTTTGTTTGTTTGTTTGGTTTTTTTTTTTAAAAAATATGTGTTGTTTATGGTGAGCTTTGCCTGTCTGCATTTTCTATATAATTGATCGTAACGCACAAAAATATCATCAAAATAAGATTTTAAGAGGCTGGTTTTATTTATTAGATAATCTAAGTGTAGTGATTCTGCAAAAGTATTATTGGTTCCTCTGGGGCTCGAACCCAGGACCTTCTGCGTGTAAAGCAGACGTGATAACCACTACACTAAGGAACCAGTGATTGATTAAATACATTCTTGCTTATCGTTTTATTAATTTCTTTTATTCTTATTGTACACTGTGATAGTAATTCCATTCCGTAATTGCTCTAGAATTTAAAAAGTTTCAAGGAGTTATTCGCTTGCACAGAAATCCACGAACTCTGGAAGTGGAATCCTTGATTTTGACCAAAAACAATTAAAAGTCAAACAGCAGAAAAGAATGTATTGTCTGTTGGCATGTCTGCTAATTAAACAGCCCATTTGTGTATAGAAATGGTCACGAATCATAACATATAAAAAAACTTGTATAGAGGCTTTGCACCATCACGTGATGGCAGCCAAGACAGGAGGCACAAGAATAGAGTTTTTCTCCCCTGGGAAACTGAATTTTTTCTCGTATAAATCAAATTAGACAAGGTTCAATTTTTCCTGATTTCCGTCATGGTTGCCATCATGTGATGCTGCAAAGCCTCTATTGAGATCTATTGAGCAAGTGAAATGGAGTAGTAGAGGGGGTATTTATCGGTATCTACTACCCGAGATCAATACGATCGCGGGTCGCATTATTTCAACCTTGCTCTTTACTGACAGCGTAGCCGGCGGCCCTCAATAATCGTGGGGTTAAAAATTTTCTTCCCAGTCCCTGGCGTCCGAACTCTTGCCACACGATTATTGAAGGTCCCTACGCAGGCTACGTGCTTCAACCTCAGTCATTGTTGCTGTTGTTGTTGTTGTTGTTGTTGTTGTTGCTGTTGTTGTTGTTGTTGTTGTTGTTGTTGCTGTTGTTGTTGTTGTTGTTGTTGTTTTTTGCCCTTTTGTGGACACTTTAGATGGTTGCTATTTTGGACTTACACTACAGGCAGCCCAGTATTTTTGTTTTTTTAACTGTGATCTCTGATGTCCAGTCTTTCTTTGTCGGCGGTTAACTTGAGTAAGCTGATCTGTATGTGCACTGAATATAATATAAAGAATGTTGTCTGATACAGGTAGCCCACGATACTGAAACTGAATCTTCGACTCTCACCACAGGTAGGTCGTATATCATTTTATGACGCATTTATATGACTTGATTTAACATTCAATTACTTCCCAATGGAGTTGATAATAATTAAGATGATGCACAGGTGGGCATAAATTAGATGTCACGATGTCACGCGTCAAAGCATCGTGACAGAACACTTCTTTGCGTGACAATCAAATGTGCATTCTCCTTTATTAGGGTCACACGCTTGGATGCAATTCTCGACGCGTGACGTGCACCGCATTCGGCATCCGCCACCAGGGCACAGTTGTGTGCAGTTCTTAGCTTGGCATTCCATTTCGCAATCCGCACCCCTGCAATCCTGCACACAGGTGTTGGACTTGCACATCATGGATTTGCACTGACCATCCTCACACACCTGGTTGCATTTATTCAACGTGTAGCACTTAATGCTGCGGCAATTTCCTTCGTAGCAGAGCTGATCACACGAATGGAATAACGCGTAGTACCTTCTACAGATACAGCTTCTCTTTGTGTGACAGTTTTGTTGGCATTCCCCGGTAGATACCAAACACCGGACCCTTGTGGGCAACGCTCTTATTCGGGGCTTCACATTCGACGTCAAACACCCACCAGCTTTGCATTCAGGGTAACAAAGCTTGGCTTGGCAAAACAGCTTGCAGTCACCACCAGCACAAAACTGATGGCATTTGTCGACATTGGAGAGACAGCGCATTGTAGTCAACCCTCCTCGTGAGATCTGGTAACATGTTTTCGATGCGCATTCCATCTCACATGATCCTGCGACGCATTCCTGAACACAGTACTCGGAACTACACGAGTAACGCATGCAGTTGCCTCCTGTACAGATCTGGTTGCAAACTAATGGAGCTTTGCAGACAAACGAGCAGTTACCGCCATGGCATATCTGCAAAGATCGCTCAGTACGGCCGTATAAACTAGCAATCCTGCAACGACCTTCGGTGCAGTTTTGATAGCAGGTTTCTTCGTTCTCTGGCTTACTACAGTCTCTTAGGGGTCTCAAATTGTTGTTGAGTAATATTTCTTTCCTTTCTTCGTAAGAACAGTCTCCATCTTTACAAGAATAGATGCAATTTTTAGCATTGCAAATCATTGCGCACTTTCCTCCGTGACATGTTTGATTGCAATTCTGCACTCCAGCATCACACTTCATTTTACATTTCCCCGAATTGCATATCTGTGTGCAATCCTTGACTCCTGCAGGACATTTGATTTCGCATCCGGCAGCTTCACAACTTTGGGAGCATACATCACTCCGACATTCCATCTTACATCCCGAACGCACGCATTCTTGTTTACAGCTGCGTGACGTACAAACAGCTGTCACGCAACGACCAGCAACGCAGGTTTGATTACAGATATCAGCGTTACATTGTAAGTAGCATTTTGCGCTRTTACATATTTGTCCGCAAGCGTTGTACTTCGTTTTATCACATGTAACCCGGTAGGTACCGAGTGTACGGTACTGTCGGCACACTGATCCCGTTATCATGTTGCAGTGAGTCGGTTCTCGTACTGTCTGCGCCACAAGTACAGTTGCTATTGACATTAGCAAAATATAAGAAAACGAAAATGCCATGGCGGATATCTGGAATAGAAAGAAAAACATCTACGTAAGTTAAGGTTTCGTTGCAGCGCGATTTGATATCACGTATTTACACTGCCAAAAACCTTTCATCAAACATTCATGCATGTTGCGCTTAGCTCTTCGTTGTCTATTAGCCTTGAAGTGCACGAGTAATCTAGCGCTCCAGGATGTATGGAGTTGAGCCAAAATGCGCAAGCTGAACCGAAGAAGCGGCCAGCATCGCGCACCTTCTTTCCCTCGCTGGTTTCCCAAGAATTTTTTCCACGTTCGTCCTCACTGAGTGTTTTTCGGCAAGCCTAGCGTTGGATAGAGACAGGGCTGTTTTTGGTACTGGCTATTAACCGTAATGTACGCTTAGGTCTTGGTATATTACCATGAATCACCCTAGTCCGATTTAAAAAGACCACAGGAATATATACGCTTTGCATATCTAGTGTTCAAGCGTTACTATACTAGCTCCGACTAAGGGTTTCACCAGGGGATAGAAGATTGTAATGCGTTACACTGGCTGGCTGGCGTTGATACTGGCTATTAACCGTAATGTACACTTAGGTCTTGGTATATTACCATGAATCACCCTAGTCCGATTTAAAAAGACCACAGGAATATATGCGCTTCGCATATCTAGTGTTCAAGCGTTACTATACTAGCTCCGACTAAGGGTTTCACCAGGGGATAGAAGATTGTAATGCGTTACACGACACCGGGTAGACATAGAACCGAAGAATCATGAACAATAGTTCTCTCGTATCATGTTCTACATGCATGACGATGGTTGAAAGTTATGAATCGAGGGAAAACTGCCAAAAAGTATCGCAAAGCTAAAACTCGTCTAGCTGAACCTCCGCCTGTTTTGATCAAGTTTTTTTTTCTGCGCTGATGACATTATAACCTTTGCGGGTAATTCAGGAGCTTGATAAAAAATAAAACTTTCTTCTTTTCCGCCAGATGTTATCGTTTAAAGACGACTTTATTAAAACCGCACCTCTTGTTTAAATAAAAACGTATTAAGTCTGACCAGAGGCTCATAAGAGGGTTGAGTATATGACACTATAACCATGTTCTGGAATAGTCCGATATGCAAATTAGGAGTTTTGATACCATATTTGGAATTTTAAGCCTCTTGATTCAAGATGGTAGCTTCCGTCACACGTCAAATTTCTTACTGAGTTAATGGCTTTTTGAAGAACTTTACTAAATATTTCTCTGGAAAGTTTGGAATATCCGTCTTTAAGTTTAGTTTCGAGAGTTTTTAAAGCAAGAGAATCTGATTTACGGAGAAGAAATTCATCGACAAAAATGTGAATATTCTGGAGCATCGCACTCAATCACTAAAAGAAATACATGAGTTTCTAGTTCGACGCTGGCTTGATTCCAGATATTAATTGTAGCCATAATATCATAGTCATCACCAATATAGTGCACAAGGTTACCTTAATTACTCGCCAAGTCAAGGACCGAAAACCAACTAGAGGTTTCCTGGGTCTCATATCTGTTGCTAATGGCAGACACAAACATCCTTACGTAAACAATACACCTTGGATTGATATCAATTTAATGACTCATATTTAGCACCTTTCCAGCTTCATCCGCAAGACTTGGCAACTAGCACAGTGTATGAAAAGATGACGCATCATAAGGACATATTTCCCAGCCAGGACCCCCGGGGGGAGGAGGTACTCCGATTAGAAAAGGGCGGGGATACTCCTCGTACCTTTTAGGTTCCAAATCTGCAATTTGGCACTTCTTAGAGTGTTTGACACTTAATAAGATATCTAACAGATTATACTAAAATAATTGTCAGAATAGCATTTCTGATTCATGGTATTTATTTTCAATTCGTAATTGGTACCTCTTAGGGGTAAACATCATTAGTTGCCACACCCAACTGGACAAGACCCATGTACCATTTAGGGTCGGGTCATAGTTATAAATTTCCGACGAGCGTCGACGCCCTCCCATATTTGGGAGCACCCTCCCAGGACAGGACAAAAATACCTAACTTCAAAAACAATCTAGAAAGATCGTTACGTTATGAGAGATTTCGTGATATGAAGGAATTTGTGACTCTCAAAAGTACCGTAGAGATTTAAAAATAACTTTTTATAGAAGAAAGGAACCTTGTTACTTCGGACTCGCCTTCATGGAGGGGGTGGTATTTAATGATAAGGCATTTTGCCTGCAGCAACTGTCATAGTGAGTGTGATGAAAGACTTGATTCCATATGGAAATGACATGCATAAAACAAGTCTAAATTGGCAAGCTAAACGAAGAAAGGATCAGTGAAGAGAAAAGTCTATATAGTCTCACGCATTTCATTCGGTGCTGCTATAGAATGAAGAGAACTCCCTGATCTAATTCTAAATGGAAACGACACGCTAAAACAAAACTAAATTCGAAAAAAGGCTGGCTAGCTAAGCCGAGAAAAGGTTCAGTGAAGAGAGAAGTCTATATAGTCTTGCGCATTATATGTCGTGCTGTTGTAGGATGAAGAGAAAACAAGCTAAAACAAGACTAACTACGAGTAAAACTTGGCAAGCTCAACAAAGAAATCCAGTTGTCGCAACAAGATAGCTGAAAATCGGTGCGAGCGCAATCCAATTGAATTTAGAAAACCCTGTGCGCAGATATTTTTCGATTTAAAAATAGATAATTTTAAGTATCTGCGTAAACGACTTACTTGAGTATATTTCTAGGAGCATTTAAATCGATTATTGCCCTCTAGTACTTCCTATAAGGACCATTATACTACTGATCATAAATTGCGCTATGCGTAATCGTAGTACGAATGGAGCTTATGAACCTATCTATCCTCACAGAACTGGATTAAACTATCTATACACAATATGCGTGGATTGATAAAGGAGGTTGAAGAGCGTCTGAATCTCATGATTAACGATAAGGTACAAGGGGCACAGAAGTATCACCAATGATCGATTAAATGTAAAATGATTGAGACTGGAGTAAATTTAAAAGGGCGCTTAGGAGAGCTGCTTGGTAGGTCAATCAAGGAGAAAGCCAGTTGAGAGTCAAGTTACCTTGCGGCTAAATAACTGAAAGTTGATTGGATACTGCATAGCGAGCTTCGTTAAAACGTTTTTCGATTGGTTCAGGCAAATGAAAGGACTGTGCGAGCAGTTCTCATTAGCGCCACACATTTTTCTCTAATGATACGCAATACGTACAGGTTTTTCCTGCCTTCTGCTCACTTTCTTGGCTTCTTTACGCGCGCAGAAATCTATAACTTGACGTCGCGCGACATTGTAGGTTATTATGGACGTCAATCAAGGCGTTTCCATGGCAGCTATTCTTAAAACGTTTCGGAGTTCTTCAGGATCAGCACTGAATTCAACAGCCACAGATGATAAACAATCTCGAATCTCTCTGAATTGATTGTGACATTTATACAAAGTTTTATATACCCTTGTCACGTATGTTTTTGAGGACATTGGACGGGCCGTGCCATGACCTGAACTTGCAGTGCCATTAAGATTAGATAAACAGTGACTTTGCGCACTGCAGTTACTTCAAAAAATGTGGTGAAATTTCGTACTGTGACAACTAGCAAGTTTTGGAGTTTGGCAGTCGTAATATAAAACACAAAAGTAATTATTTACATCGAACATTCAGGGAGTGATTTCTCAGGCAGTCTACCCAGCGGCAGAGGCTCATAATTAAACCACTCCACGCCATATCGAATCGGAATTTAAGAGTTGAATTGAGGTCTACTCTAACTATGTGGATCCTTGCAGAGTTGTCTTCTCTGAGTTCATGCTTAATTAATTACCCCGGTATCTTTCATCTTTCACCCAAACAAGCCATTTAGTTTTAAATATAGACTGGTTGAGAGCTGTGCTGACAGATCCAAATGCGCATCATTCTTCTATATCGTTTATAATACAAGCATTTATTCTCCTTATACTTGCAATGAATTATCGCCTTAAAATTACTCAAACTCTACAGTTGTGGATCATTGATTGATCGCTCTTTCGATGTTGATGTATACGTGTGTTATGACCCTAGTTTGTAATTCAGTATAAACTGACAAACTTAGTACGATTCAGACAAAGGTGAACTTAGACGACCTGTGATAGTAATAGTTATTAAATATCAGGTAATTCGTTCGGCACTTTCAACGCGGGTGAACACGTAACTGAATCCTTGTAAGAGCGTGGAGATTTGATTCGTCACCAACACCATCATCAACATCACCATCATCCCCATTACCATCACCAACATAATCAGCAGCACCACCATCAGTATCATCATCATCATCATCATCTTCACCATCGTTATACCATCATCATCATCATCGTATCATCATCCTGGCACCATCATCGCCATCACCCTCATTACCATCACCATCATTAGCAGCAGCACCATCATCATCATCCCCACCATCAGCAGCATCATCATCGTCACCACCACCACCATCGTCAGCATCATCATCATCATCATCACCGCCACCATCAGTATCATTATTATCATCATCATCACCATCGTTATACCATCATCATCATCATCATCGTATCATCATCCTAGCAAAATCACCGCCATCATCACAATATTTCTGTTTACGTTTGGAGTAAGTATGCCTCATTCTATAGTTAAGCTATACGTACAACCATTTCAAAAAGSATGGTCTCAAGATTGCTCAACGTTCAATGATATTCAATAGTGCACATCGCAACGCTCACAGTGCGCCTTATAAGAAAATAGTTTAACTAAGTAACGTTTATTTCCAATTGCTTACAAGGTCCGCAATCCACTTAAGGCATAACGTTTTGCAATTTGAATTTCAAATACTTTTTTGGCATTTCCCAAATTAGCTTTTTTAAATATTGTTTGCAAATGTGGAATCTTTTCTCCTTGTAATTTTCAAAATGGGTGTCACGATTAAGACCAGGAATGCTCAGCACGAGAAGATCGATGTCAATAACGATTGCACAATGCTTGACTGGAAAATGTACTGAAATATTGTAACGTGATCAAATATTCCCAGCTCATCCACAAGTTATACGCTTAGCATTAAATACATAATCCTATCATAAAAACATATTAAAAGGCATTCGCAATTATAAACAGGAAACTTCCACCACCAAAGTGCTTCATAATTACGCTTCAATAGAGAACGCTGGGTCAATTGACAACAAATTATGCTCAAAAAGTGCTTGGGGCAACAATCTGCGGTGATCATGATTACATGCACTGTTTTAGTCAAATATGATGAACTGATTACAAACATACGCCTTATTTTTTTGCGTCAAAGTGAAGAGAGTCGAGTGAGATAGAGCAAAGCGTGGAGTGGTTTCATACACTGAAAATCTGAAAGTTATGGCTTTGAAAGTTCCTAGAGCTACGACGGTACTTCAGATGTACGAGAATAGGTTGATAGAGAGTATAGTTTAGAGTGTCAAACGCATCTTAACAGAAAATAGTTTTTTCATTAAAGAGCCAGTGTCTGGCAAACGCAGCACGAGTTTCGTTCTCGAGACGATTAGTTCTTTGTCTGTCTAATGAATGACCCTATACCTACGAGTTCCAGTCTATTATGATATTAAAATCAGATCATATTTCAACACAACCATCTCAAACTACAATTAGAATCACTACTCGACATAAAAATATAGCCAATGATATCGGCCAATGTAGTTTCTAAAATACAAAATCATAGGAATTACATTAAACAATAAAGATTTTGAGTAAGAGTTGAAGGATTTGGGAATTCCTGAGTGCGCTTGTCGAAAAAGAAAATGGCACGCGCTAGTTTGCTCGCAGTAAGAGATTGCCAAATTTCCTATCAAAAAAGACACTATTGAGGGACTTATTGTAAATATTTTTCACCAGAAATAGTGATTATTCATATCTTGATCGAAAGCGCGCAGCTTTTAGCGCGTTCTATAGTAGTCTGTGTCGTATTTACCAAACACTAGCTACTGAAGATTATTGCTCTTTCGCACTTCATTCATAGACTATCGTATCGTATACTTGTCTTACTTACCCGGTTCGTCTTTGGTTTTATTTTGCAGGCTAAGAAATTCCGACGCTGTTGTTTTCACGTTTCGAGCGAAACTCTTTGGTCAACCATTAGTTACAGCCACGCAGAAAATCTAGAAAACCAGTTAGTCAGTGAGATTGACTGACAACCCTATGGACATAGAAGATCTTGTGTTTTTTCACTGCTTGGTCAAGGAAGGTCATGGAGCCAGTGAAACGGAAGACGCTATTTATTTGTATCTTTGACCGTAAGTGAGAAGGTGCTTAAAAATACTACTATCACCACTTATTAGGCTCCCCGCGCCAGGCTACACGTCATTCTTTGTTGGAAGGTGAAAAATTCTTTAAGATTTATAGTTGTATTATATTGAGGGTTTTCACGGTGACGTCGTGCTGTAGAAACTTTTGTTTTGTTTTGTTTCGTTTTATCAGAATGAAAAGTTTGCATGTATTCACGTTTGAATATCAAATTAGAAAACAATTGTAGAGTTTGATGAATATTGTTCATAATCCAGAGAATGTACACCTACTTGCAAGAAGGTTGTCATACACAATAGAACATTAGTAATTTAGTGAGAAAGGAATGCATTAAAAGACAACAAAAAACAAAAACAAAACAACAAGAAAATCAGCTTCAGTGATCTTCTTTCGTTTTTTAATATAATTCCTATCCCACTAAATCACTAATGTTCTATTTTCGTATGACAACGTTTTTGCAATTAGGTGTACGCATTTTTGAACTTTACAAGTTTACAAAGAAATGCATAAAGTCGGGCAAATTTCAAAATTTCTTGTTTGATTCACATCTTTACTGATATAAGTATGACAAGTTAGAAGTTTTAGAATAGGCCGTTTGTACGATGGCGTTATTGTACTCACCGAGAAAATCAAGCCGTTTTTCAACTAGCCTCGTCCCCTTAGAGGTATAAAAGTGGTCCATATCATGTTCTTTCTCATGATATGTGCGGAAAAAGGGACCAATTATCGGGTCCCTATATCATGAGCCTTCATTATTTACTGTCAGCTGTTATACGTCGAAGCCGTTGTCCTGGATACCTGGATACTTGTGTCTTGTATAAGAACTTTATAGAAATTAGAACTTAGATAGAAGCAGTTTACYTCTTTCTAGAAGTAGTTTACTTTCAAGGCCTCGTAAAAGGCACACGAAACAAACTTTTCGGCTTTCGGCTTTCGACTCTTCTATGTTACGTCATGGTCATTAACATATTGGGAATATTAACCTTTGTATCTCAAAGACCCAACATTCAAATGACGAATTATTTTCACAATCAACTATTCACTATTTAAAGAATCAATTCTGAAAATATTGTGTAAAGGTTTATAAGCACTTTAAGAGATAGAGTACACAGTTTTATCCTCCCATCAAAAACTGAGCGTTTTAAGAAAGTTGTCTTAAATAAATGCCCAGTTTTAGATAAGTATTTAATAATTTATTTTTGCTGTAGAGTGCATGCACTAAAACCGTGAACA